ACATGTCCTAATTTCCATGATCTCTATCAAAAATACTAAGCAAATGATGGAAGAGGCAGGAAAACCTCGTTGCGTGATCAGCAAACCTTTATCTGATCCCATTCCCCTGAAAGAGAGACCCGTCAGCCCATACTGTGGGCGATGGTGTGTAGTTGACTTGATGAGCCTCTGAAACTTGGCTGCTCTTGGGGCTCCTGTGAATCTGTTTCACAGTTTTTGAGATTCAACTTTAAATAATTAATAATAATAATTGCTTACACCTATGTAGCGCTTTTCTGGACACTCCACTCAAAGTGCTTTACAGGTAATGGGGATCCCCTCCACCACCACCAATGTGCAGCCCTACCTGGATGATGTCACGGCAGCCATAGTGCGCCAGAACGCTCACCACACATCAGCTATCAGTGGGGAGGAGAGCAGAGTGATGAAGCCAATTCAGAAATGGGGATTATTAGAAGGCCATGACTGATAAAGGCCAATGGGAAATTTGGCCAGGACGCCGGGGTTACACCCCTACTCTTTTCTGGAAATGCTCTGAGATTTTTAATGACCACAGAGAGTCAGGACCTCGGTTTTACGTCTCATCCGAAGGACGGTACCTGTTTTACAGTATAGTGTCCCCGTCACTATACTGGGGACTTAAGACCCACACAGACTGCAAGGTGAGCGCCCCCTGCTGGCCCCACTAACGCCTCTTCCAGCAGCAACCTGAGTCTTTCCCAGGAGGTCTCCCATCCAGGTACTGACCACTGCTGAGCTTCAGGGGGCTGCCAGTTGTGAGTACTTTTAAGACCGAAGCATTGTGCCGAGATGTTTAAATTTGCAGGTGATCTCTTCTGGGGGGGTAAATAACAGCATGTTGCTCTCATTGAGATCAGTTTCACATCGGGTCTGAGGTCAAAGGTTAAACCCCACGGCTCAAGGGCTTTAGCTGAGTGACACGAGGAGCGAGCCCCCTCCCAGCGTTTTGTTCTCAGCTTTGGTCACATGGTTGATCTCTCCACAGTTTTCCTCTAACGACTGAGGTCTCGCAGAATTATGAAACAATTGCCCCCTTAAGTCCAAAATAAACTTTTGGTTAAGTTAGTAACAGAGTGCAAGGGCACATAGTGTGAGGAGCAGTGTTCTTTTAGGCCTGTAGGCTGGCTGCAGGGTC